CTTAGCCTTGATATCTCTGCCCATGTACATTTGTAGGGTTAGGTCTTCATCTTCTCTCTGTTCTTTGGTATCTCAGTTTAGGATTGTTTGTTTGCATGGAACAGGCACATTCAATTTAACTCAAGCAGAGGAAAAATGTAAGGGAAGGATATAGGGCTGTCTTATGGAGCCCTATAGTCAAACCTCACTTATTCATTCAGTATTCATTATGTGTTTTCTAAAAGATGCCTAAAGATAAAATGATCGACAGATATAGTCTGTATGTACACTAGACTATAAACTCTAAAAAGGTAGGGATCTGGCTATACATCAATAAATTATCCAACAAACATTGATCAGGTGCTACAATGATGAATAAGTAGTTTTCTGCTTTGGGGTCTGCTTTGTCGTCTTGATTGACATTTCGGCAAAAGCTGCCTCTTGGCTCTATGTGGCCTTTCAACCCTAACATTAACTAATTAAAGTATCAGCTAATTATTAAAAAATCCCATGAGGATTGAATTGGGCTAACTTGAGTCAGATATCATTGTGACCCAATCAATTACAGCTGTGAGGAGGTGTGGCGCCATGTGATACTAATATAGAATTTAGACATACTAGCTGAGATTATGAGTAATGAACAATTCTCAGAGGAGTTAATACTCCAAATTGTACAGATATTTGAATTCCATTATTGTACTTTTCTGAATCTCCTATCATATTTTCTTCTTTCCCTCTTACTTTGTAACTGTGAGATTTGTCCAAAGATATTAGTTTTTCTCAGTACTCTTCCCCTAGAAATTTCATGGCTTTGAGTATCACTGATATATAAATGAATCTTCAGTCTTTATTTCTAGATTTTATTCACTTTGTAATGCCTACCTCACAAGTTCATTTAGATTACAGGCCTCTCCATTTGGATGTCTCACAGGTAAGTCATAGTCTATATGTCCAGAATGACATAGATCATCAACCCAAATTCCTCCGTCTAACTGACTTCATTCCAACTCTCTACAGCTAACTCTGTAGGCTCAAAATCTTGAGATTATCTGTATGTTCACCTCACAATTTCTTTTCTCATGTCACATAGTCATCAAGCTCTTTTGATTTAGCTTCTATCTAATCTTTCACATTCATTCACTCTTCATTATTATTGCTTCAGTTGAGACCTTTCTTACTTCTTAACTAAATTGTTGAAATAATTGCCTATTTACCAACAGTCACTCCTCACTCCAAACCATTCAACATACAACTTTCAGTTTAGTCATCCTAAAGCAAAGTTGTAATCTCATCACTCTGCACCTCAATAATTCCCTCTCATTTATCAAATAAAACTCAAAAGTCTATGTAGAATATAGAATTGGTACCCACTGCAACTAAAAAAAATATAAAATAGCAATGCTACTTAAACAAAATAGAAGTCAATTTCTTTGACTATAGTCAGTCCAGAACTGGTATGGTGATATGGGACCTAGGCTCCTTTTAATTAGCTCTCTGATGCACATGGCTTCCTCTTAAGGCCATTTCATAATCTAACATAGCTGCTGAAGCTCCAGCTATCACAGTCATGCTTCATGTAGCAAAATAGAGAAAGAGCAGAAAAAGGGCTTGTGTGTTTTTTCTAAATTAATTAATTTATTAATTAATTTATTAATTTGTTATTTTTTTAATTTTTTAGGCGAGGCAACCCTTGGTTGATCTCACAGATTGCAAGGACCTTGTCAATTTACAATCCTTTATTTATTTATTTATTTATTATGCCTGCAGCGCCTAATCTTCCTAGGTGGTCTTCCCATCTAAGTACTAACCAGGCCTGACCCTGCTTAGTTTTGAGATCAGACAGGATCAGACTTGTTCAGGGTAGCATGGCCATAGACTTGTGGGGTTTTTTTTAGGAGACTTCCTTGAACTAGTATCTGAATTTTACTTAGAATCATTTAGTAAGAAATAGAGAATGGACATTGATGTAGGCAGCTCAGATGTCTCTCCTCAACAATAAAAGAGGCCTCTAATTTCAGTGTAAGATAAAAGTGTATTTATCTGACATGTGAATCCAGTGCATAGTTTTCAGGATAGCTCTGTATTTGGGTTCAGTGAGAAACTCAGGACCCTCATGATCTCATAGAGAATTATACTCATTTGCCAATCAAAGCTGATTCAGCACTATATTTGTGTTTCAGTCCACTGGAAGTAGAAAAAAAATCATTCTAGAGAAAATGGCCTGACTTTAAATTAGAGGTGACCTGAAATTCTCATGTATTATACCTGCTCACATCCCATGGGCTTGGCCCTGTGGCTATACCCACCTGCCAGAAAGACTAGGAAATATAAACCGTAGCTGGTAGATCGTATGCCCAGGAAGAAGCAGAGAAAGGATTTTGAAAGGATAACTGCTAGTCTGTCACATTTCAGTTCCTGTCCATACTTCAAGGTATAGCTCAAGTACCATTTCTGCAAAGAAGCTTTTTCTGAATCTTCAACCAAAACCAACAATTCTTATGACTAACAGTTATCTTCTGCTGAATATATGCCATGAATGAGACTGTGTTCTAGGTTTAATGTTTTATAAACTTCTACAAGATTTTGTCCACATTTCCACAGATGAGAAATTATAGTTCATACTTATTAAAAAAAGATTATAGGATTAGGAAGTGTTGGAATCATGATGTCTACTTCTGAATTCACACAGCTTTTATTTATTTATTCATTCATTCATTCATTCATTCATTCAGTATGTCTCCTTTATGTTACATCATTTGTGATGTGTCTCATTTCCCCCTAGATTGTGAACTTCCTGAGGCCGGGCCTGGTTGCTCTTTTAGCCCTCATTGTATCTAGCAAAATACCTTGAATGTGGGAGGCTTCCATTAAATATTTACAAAACAAATGAATTGTCAGTTAAAAAAGTTCTGAATTCATAGATAATGTATATAAAGGGTCAGTTTGGACTAGGTATCCATGCAGTTGGAAGACTTTAGTATATTTTCTTTATATGAAAATTAGAATGATTATCTTTAGTCACTACCTGTTCAACAGGACTGACTTATCGTTTATAGTAGATTACATTTACCTTTGTGAAATTCTTTGATATTTTGAAAAAAATTGGAATGTGTGAAGCTAAAATATGTTTTTTTCAAATGCCTATATTTACTTTTTAAAGTTTCCTTTTGCTTCTTATCATGTGTTGTATTTATCATTAAATAAGCATTAATTTGTATAAAATCTCTATTTGCGATGGGCAAGAAATGATTAAAATAGCTGTATTTCTTTCCCATTAAACATTTATTGACATGAGCTATGGGAGACCAATTAAGTACATGATATCCATAAAAAAAGCTAAAAAACATTAACTTTCCATGTTTTCTATGATTCATACAGGCCACAAGTCATATTGAAAAGTAATTGATAAAACTAAAATTATTTATAAAATATATTCCAAGTATAGAAATTGAATTAGATATTATTTTCATACTGAGGCTTTACTCAGCTTTAGAAATAAAATCATTTTCCTCAGAGCCTATGAAAAATCTGAGGTAAAATGTCTCATTTTAGAAAACGTATTTTTAATTTGTATTTGAAACCTTGAGTTAGTGTGTGTGTGTGTGTGTATGTATGCATGTATGTGTTTGTTGTGTTTGATTGGGAGGTGTCTATGGTTGGTAGTGGGGCAATCTGATTAAATTGCATTGACTATTAAAAAGAAGAATACATATAGTACTTATTCTTATACTGTAATACATTCTGAGGGATCTTATAAAAAGAGCTAAATGGAAAAACAGCTTATTTCAAATATTGGCTTTGTTCACTTTTAAAGCTATGACTTTGAATTTGATACTTAACTTCTCTGAGCCTCCTTTTTTTCCCTTTAAAACAGAGAAAGTACAGTTGAGAATCAGTGAGTCATCAGGTGTTCACTAAGGAAATTGTATATTCAGCAATAAGGAAAAACTTCCGAATCTCAAGTTATAGAAAGGAATATAAGACAGATACATTAATATTAAATTATGAAACAGATTTTTGTGGGCTTTAGAATTAGACCTGAGATGAGTTCTTGGCCCTTTGTAATTATGTGACCTTAAGCAGTTTCTTCATCTCCACAAATACCCCTGCCTCCACCAAGTCACTGTCATCTAATTCCTGTCATTCTGCCTCCTAATTAATGTCCCTGCTTCTGCTATGTGAACAACAACCTTAGCTATCTTTTGAGAATGTAAATGAAATTTTGTAGTGCTCTAATTTAAACTCTTCAGTTTCTTCCCATTATATCTAGAGTAAAATCCAGACCCTAGCTTCTGGTCTAAATACCCTGCAAAATCTAGTCCAGGGCTATTTCCCCACTCTTATCAGTTTCTCCTTTGTCTTCTTCTCTTGTCTTCTTGGTCTCTCTCTCATTTTAGCTCAGATGTCTCTCCTCAAACTCTTCCCTGATTGCTTAATATAAAGCAGCTCTTTTTCTCTTCCACTCCACTCTGCCTCTGTATTCACAGCACTTACTCTCAGAAATCATCTTGTTCATGTATTTCTTTTCTTGTCTAATGTTTATCTATTCTCCTCCCAATAGACTATATGATCCATGAAGCAGGTGACTGCACATCTGTTTTTGATTCTCTTCTGTTTCGTGTCTTCTTACCTGGAAGAATGACTCACAGCGGTGCTCAATTAATATAGAATGAAGCACTAAATTAACAAATGACTGATAGACTCTATCTTCAAGTGAATTTTTCTCCCTTACCTATCAACACTTCTTTTGAAATACACTTTATTATTTCAAACAGCTTTATATAGAAAACTGGTTAGAATAGTTTTAGATATATTTATTGTTTAGAGCAGCTTCAGACATATCAAAAGATAGTATGAAGCGTTCCCATATACCCAGCACCCAGTTTCTTCTATTATTAACATCGTATTTGTCTGGTATATTACTCACAATATTGAACTATATCAATATATCATTGCTAACTAAAACCCATATGTTATTCAAATTTTCCTAGTTTTTACTTGATGTCTTTTTTCCATTCTAGGACTCTATACAGGACACCATATTACATTTCAGTGCCATGTCTCCTTCAGCTCTTCTTGACTGTGATAGTTCCTCAGAATTTCCTTGTTTATGATGACCTGGACAGTTTTGAGCTGTCTTGGTCAGGCATTTTATAGAATGTTCCTCTACTAGATATTTTTTTTTTCATGTTTTTCTCATGATTAGATTGGGGTTATGGTTTTTTTGGTGAGAAAGCCACAGAATTTAAGTGCATTTTCATCACATCACATCAAGGGTACGAACTGTTGACACATTTTATCACTGTGGATATTGAATCTGATCACCTGGCTGAAGTAGTATTTGTCAGATTTCGTCACTATAAAGTTAATCTTTTTCTCCCTCTCTTCCATACTGTTGGATGAAAGTCACTATGAGAATATATTGAAAGTAAAACCAAGAGTCCCACATCTCGACATTTTCAGCAATAAATTGCAAATGGATTAAAAATATAAATGTAAAATTTTATTGTAAGAAAATTTACGTGTCTATTTGTATATTATTTGAGTGAGGGAGATCATCTAAGCAAGAAACCCCAGAAATAATGTGCCAGGCACATGCCAGACATTCTTCTAAGTACAATACATGTTATTACATTTAACTTTCAAAAGAACCTATGAAAAATGTCTATGTACTTTTCCATTTTATGGACAAAGAAATTAAGGCACAGATAGGTTAAATAAACTATTTAAGGTTACAGATTTGATAAGAGACAGAATAAGACTCAAACCATAGACAGTCCAGCTACTAGGCCTGTGCACTTAACCACTGTGCAATATTGCCTCAAGTTGATAGGAAAAAAGACAAAAACATTAATACGAAAACAATGAACAAGATATATAAAAATGCTTGCTACAGAATAGAAAATGTAAGAATGAATATAAAGCCATTCATATAGAAAATGTGTTCAGGAATGCAAGTAATTAGAGAAATACAAAGTTTAAACCACAAGGAAGTAACATTTTCATAAATCAAATTGACAATAACTAAAGCAGTTGATATTATCCTGTTCTGGTGAGAATGTGGAAAAATGGGCATTTTCATGCTTTACTGGTATGAATATGAATGATTAGAATTTTTTTGATAAAGTATTTTTAAAAATCTATTATAATTAAAAATGCACATACTCTTAGATCTTGCCATTAATATTTAAAACTTTTTTGTTGTGAAATGTTAACACGCATATAGAAGAGTATGCAAAAATAAATATAAAGGTTAAAAGTTATTATAAAGCAAACACTTGTCTACTTACCAGGTGAAGAAGTAAATGATTTTCAGAAACCTCTTTTGTAAATCTTTCTAATAAAATACACTTTTCTCCTGCTTTCTCCAATCTCCTAACTTTCCTTTGGTTTTCTTTTCAGTTTCATGCTTTATATAAATGAAATAAATATTGTAGTGTATATATTATTCTGTCTCTGAATTAATACTATGTTTGTGAGATCATCCGTATTATGCATATTGCTGCAGTTTGTTTGTTTTCATTTCTTTAATATTAATACCCACTCTTGGGTCTTCTCAGACTCAACCACACAGACTCACATGATTATGATACTTCACATTAACCACTGACATTGTCACTGAGCAGGTATACAGCACCAGAAACTCAGAATGCCAGCGGAGTGGCGGTTGTTTACCTTCCGAGAGTGGTCTCATAGCAGCCCACACAACAGAAAAGAACAGGAGCTAATCTTCTTGAGCACCTTTGAATGACTGCTCCTGTGAGGACATGAAACTCAGAGACCTGGGTACAAAGGATGCATGGGTTTAGAATTCCCCATCCCAAAGTGGAACCAGTAACTTTTTAAAAAACAGATTCATGGATTCCTGCAAAGGATGTGAACTCTGGGAAGCCAAAAGGCTCTCCTTATTTGGTATTTATAGTTTATTCACAGTCCTCCTAGTCCAGATGTAGTATACTAATCAGGTCATTTTTACCATAAGCAATGGTTTCAACAACGGAGCTGACATCCACTTTCATTAGATTTTCATGGAGATGAAATGAGAAAATTAACCCAAGGTCAAATTTGTCTATACAAAAGGAGAGAATGTTTTTGTTCACCCTTTATTCACAGACATACCACACTTTTTGGTCCATGAGATAGAGAATCAGTTTGATTCCAGATTTTAGCTCTTATGAAAGCATTCTGTTATCTGTCCCCTGCTGTACAGGTATACATATTTCTGTTTGCTATCTATCAAAGTGGTGGGATTGCTAAATCAGTGGGTATGTCTCTTTTCAATCTTGGTAGGTAACACTCAACTGATTACTAACGTGGTTGTACCAATTTACACTGCCACAAGCAGCTTGTGAGAGTTTCTATTACCTACAATTCCTGGTTTTCATATTTTTTAAATGTTAGTTATTCTGGTGGATGTGAACCGTTTGAAGTGTTAGTAGCATCTCATTGTGGTTTTGATTTGTATTTCCCTATTTGTTGTATTCATCATTGTTTCACATATTTATTGGCCACTTGGAGTGTGTGTGTGTGTGTGTGTGTGTGTGTGTGTGTGTGAATTGCCTGTTTAAACCTCCTTTCCGTGTTTCTGTTGCTTGGGAATTTTTTACATATTCTGGATATAAGCTCTGTGTCAGTTATATGTGTTGAAAAAATGTTCTACCACTTGAAGTTTTGTTTTTTCATTCTCTTATGATGTTTTGTAAAAATATATTTAGAAAAAGAGTTGGTAATCAAAATACTTAACTATTGATATAGTGTGGCAATTGATAAATCAGAATAGTGCACACTTGTTGAATACCAGGCCTTCTTTTTAGATAGCTTGGCCAGAAGTATACAGGAAGTAACAGGAAATGTCAATCAATAAAACAATTGTAGCATTTGTTATTTACATCCATATTGCCACATATTAAGTTCAGTTAACTTGAGAAATGTCTGATAAATTTAATAAATTTAAGGAAAGCATGCTAAAGTGTTGCATACATGATTCCGTTTCTTAAGAAGAGTGCATATAGGTCGGTTTATGTTCGTGACCATTGTAATTACTTTTGCATACAGCTATCTCCCCAATAGGACTATGAATTACCCAGGGATAAAATCTGATTTTTACTCATGTTTTTCTCTCTATACCTCACAGAGCAACTAATTCAGTAAATCCCGAATATAGTAAGATGTTAAAAATGTGTTTTATTCTTTCAGATCACTCCTATTAACATGACTCCAACAATTATTTGACTACACATATAAACAACTCATTGATTCTACTACCTATTCACTATTCCTCTGATGTCACTTTTGATCCCATGCCCATTCTGTGGTACATTATTATAATCACTCTACTCATTCTTTTGTATACACTCTCAAGTTATTTGTCTCAATTATCTTTGAAATACTGTGTACTCTCTCTACACTTTTCCCATGAGATCCTTTCTATTCATAAGACTTAAATACCTTATGTGTGTTATTGACTCAAACATTTATGTATCTAACCTGAACCCTTTTCCTGAGATTAAACTCATATATTCAACTGCATACTCTACATCTCCTCTTGGATGGGCATGGGCATCACAGACATCACATGTCCAATAATGAACTTATTCTCTACCCTTACCCCAAATCTGCTCCTGTAGCAATCTTCCCCATCTCAGTAAATAACAATTCCATCCTTCCAGTTACTCAAGTTAATCATAGCTCCTTTTTTGTTTCACACTTAATTTCTAATTCAGTGGGCAATCTGGTTGGAGCTAATGTCAAAATATATACATTATTCAAACTCTTCTTTCTACTCACATTGCTATAATCCCAATCCAAGCCACCATTACCTCTCATCTAAGTATATATTTGCTCCTTTCCTCGTTACATCTTACCTCCCCACATTCCAACTCTCAACACAGTATCAGAATGATTCTTAAATTAAATTAAATCATGCCACTCCTCTTATCAAAATCCTGTAATAGCTTCCCATCTCATCCAGAGTTAATCTGGCTACTTGTCACCTCTCTGACCTTACCACATACATCTTTCTTCCCCTGCTCACTTTACTCCAGCCACAGTTGAACTGATTCCACTTACATGGAGGGAAAAAGGTTTAGTTTAAATTGAACCAACACTGATATATGTGAAGAGATAAATCAGTCTTTAACATAATTGAAGCTGTACTGGATCTTACCTGTGAAGAAGGCATACACCTATAAGACTTCTGGCAATCACCTCAGAAACTTTTTTTCAGAGGTCACAAAGCTATTTGACATCATGGGAATTATGTTTCTCAATCCAAGTATGATAATTACGATAAGATCCATCTAGGAGGCCTATACATATTTTTTTTTTATTTTACTGATTTGTTTTCTATGTGAAACATTTTTATAAGGTAAGGTACCTTTTTAAAAATAGGTGTATTTAGCCACTGGAAGTTGATTAATTAAAATTTGGAAATGATAGCCATAATTATTGACATTTGTTTGTTTATTCAGGCTACCATTTTCAATCACAGAAGAATTCATCTTGAGATTCAACCAAACAGAAGATCCAAAAGAGAAGGAAGAATTGTTGGATCTAGCTAGAAAAAACATTCTCCGATGTAAGGTAATGGTACACTATTTGATTTACTTAGTATATGAACTTTCTCTTCTAGTTGGTGGACTTTGAAAATAAACAAACAAACAAACAATAATCAGTACATTTTTGTTTGACTCTTTCATGTTTCCCCATAATAGAGAAAATTGGGTCTCAAGACCTTAGGCACTGGGAAGCATGTGCATCTTCCTACTGCATGGACTGAAGTAACATATCTGGCTCAATGCAAAGGAGACATACAAGATGGTATGTGCTCTAACTAAACTCTTCTTAGTTATCTGAAGGGTTTTCTAGATTAGCAGTAAAGGTATAATTTTAGAATTTTAGCATTTAGAAATTATGTAGGATCTAAGAAAAACTTGCCATTCTATATCAAAATGTTCACGATGAAAATTCCTTTTGTAATTTTGAACTTATGAATTTGACTCCTCAACATTTCAATTACAAAATTGTTTTAAAATCTTGCTCAGCATAGTCTTTATTGCTTTTTTTCCCAAAAGTAACTTTAATTAAAAAGTAATATAAAGTGGCATTTAGTGATTTTCAATTACAATAGGCACTATACTTTAGAAAACTTATTTCTGCATTTTATAATTCTTATTCATAAAACATGAACCAAACGGCCATTTGTTTTTCACTTATTTAAACAGCCATTTTACTCATTACCCTTTCATTTATCATTTCTAACTGATATGTCTCTTTTCAAAGTACCCTCCAACCAATCTTAAAAAGAAATTAAAAGCCATTATTTCTAAAGAGGTAAAACTCCTTCCTCGTTATCCTAAATTTTATGTGTGTGCCTTTTAAAACGAGTCTTAGAATGTTAAGCATATGAGGTCAGAGAGTATTTCCTCATGTACATTGGGTTTTGCGGTGCTATCTGGGAGCTCTAAAGCAACAGGAAGAGTAAGAACCATTGTGTATTTAACTTGCCTGTATGGCACTTTGTCACAGTACCATACACAGCCTGACCTCTATTAAATGTTTAAATGATATGGAAATAAACACTTTTAGCTTACCAGCAACCAGCTGCTACTTTCTCTTATTTGTCAATTAAACCTCAGTTTTTTTCAGATATCCTGCAGTCATGTGATTCATAAAAAGACTGGCCCTTCCCAGCCTCATGGGTAAATTATGGTTCATCTAAACTAATCATAGTGATCCACCCCTTTTCTTGTCCATGAGTAGATCAGGGGTAGTCACATGACCTAGTCCCGACTAAGAGATATAAAGATGAGCCTGTTCTGTGTACTTTTTATTAAGTTGCTTTCGACAAAGACATGTCTGGAAATAAAGCACCCTTCACTCCCTATGCCCCTCTTGATTCCTCTCTAAATGGTGAGGTAAGAACAAAATGCCTGGAGCATGAGCAGTCATTGCAGTCATCATATACATCAGGGGAACTAGAAGATGAAAAAAATATGCATATAGAGGGTAGTTATATTAGCCAGCCATGAAGCCTTTCCATCTTTGATGTTGTGAAGTAATGAACATACTTATTTTGAAGACACCTTGTTGAATTTTCCATTACACACCGCCAAAAGCTTTTTAACTCATTAAGACACTGAGCTCCAAATAAAAACCCTAAGTATGATACTTTTTCACCAGCTCCACAACTGAAATTCCCTCTTACTCTGTGTTCTGCCTATAATCTTGTCTCTCATTCTATAGTCCACCCTCCACTTAGCAGTAACCATTCCAGAATTTAAATAATTTCTAGTGCCTTCTGATTACACTTAAAATGATCTCCAACTCCATATAATAACCTACAAGGCTCTGAATGATCTGGCCCCTGGCTACTTCCCTTACTTATTCATTCTGCTCCAGTCTTACTCTGGTTGCTTGTCTCTTAAACATGCCAGGGCTTTTCTTTTCTCAAGTCTCTGAATTTGCTGTTCTTCTTCAGATATTTACGTGACAGCCCATCAAAATCTTTGTAATGACTTGAGGTGCAATTTGCTCTAGGTCCTTAGCTCTATATTCTTCCTCATTCAGTTCCACTGACTCTTGCTTCCTCTCCTTTGATTTTCTAGTCTTCCACTCTTTCATAGCACTTGTCTTTAGCATCGTCTTTTGCCATCCAATTCTGTCCTATTTCCTACACCATTATGTATATGGCCTGGTGAGCTTTTTGTGCTGTCTGGAGCAGGTAGAGTTCCTTGGGCATCTCTCAATCTCTCTCTCT